TGACCTTTTCCCTGAAGATTTTCTTTATGTCGACGCCGCTGATATTGAATGTTGATTAGTTATTTAAAATGTAGTCAGAGTCATATGCCCGGTCCACCATAGGTTTTTTTTTTTTTTTTTTTGGTAATTAAAGAACCATTATCTTCATTTTTAAAGAATGACTGATTGGTCTTTCACTAATTTTTGTAAACCGTCAAATTGGTCGAGAAAGTCTCCACTCTGGCAACACTGTGCTAGTACGTCCTGCGTAGCTATGAATATAAAGCAGCAACTTACCGAAAATATCCGAAAATGCGCGGGAAACCAACTTTTTATCTTTTTTGATATAAAATAAGTCATAAACATGGCAACAGATAAAAAGTGAAACTGCTTTTTAATTAAGACAGGACATAGTTTAAAACAAAACATGTACATATTACTTTTTTTATGTGTGTACGTCACATGAGATGGGGAAGAGAATTATTAAGGGCTATTTTTAGTCACTCCTGTGGTATGGAAGTAAATCACGGATAGTCACTTGCCCGTCTCTTAACGTATGTATGTGCTAGCTGGGCACTTGCACTTGCCCGAAGGCCCTGCGAACGCAACAACCCCATGCTAGTTGGCCATCTATATGTCATTCATGTGAGCGGTTGTGGTAGGGGCCTTAGCACACTGGTTTGCTCGGGGGTCCATAAAGTTGTGGCTAGTTGACCATCTGTATGTCATTTATGGGAGCGGTTGTGGTAGGGATCTCAGCACACTGGTTTGCCCCGGGGTCCATAAAGTTGTGGCTAGTTGACCATCTGTATGTCATTTATGTGAGCGGTTGTGTTAGGGGTCTCAGCACACTGGTTTGCCCCGGGGTGTATAAAGCTGTTAAGACGGCCCTGGATCAGCTGTTCAAAGATTGTATGGAAACTGCTGAGATGTGGTTTTATAGACAAATAATGGCGGCACAATCCCCAGATAAAACGAATAATTAAATTATCTTGAAAGAAATACATTCACAAACAAAAATGATTACTCACATCAGAAGCAGGCAGTCTAAAGGTAAAGTCGGGAGATGTGAACCAGCGTCACTGCACACGGTCATAAACCATACGTGCTCTGCCACCAGTACGGACAACTGATAAGAAGTGTCCGCCTGTGTCGCCGTCCGCACGTAACTCTGTAGCTTCAGCGACGTTCCCCCATTTACACCAGAGTGTCAACCCTGATGCCCATTTTCTAGAGGCTGGGTGAACCCTGGGAACCGCCCGGTTTCGAACACCGACCGTGGCTGCAGCTGGATTTGAAAGCGAGCCTCTTATTGACTGCGCTAACGCGGCCCACAGCAGTCAGTTTACATTCTTTGTTCACACTGAGGTGGGGAAAACTGATGCACACTGTGAGGGCAGGGAAGACCCTGAGAGAAGATGCTGGGCAGTCAGAGGTCATGGCATGGAGGATCGTCAGAAATGATTGAAAGGGCAGGAGACTGCAGGCTGTGGAAATCAGTGGCAAGGCATGATCAATTCGCACGTGAAAGAGTTAGTAGGTAACGATTATGATAGAAAGGGTATTATCATCTTTGTCGGTTTGTTGTTTAGAATGTGCTTGCGCAACATGAATCGTGTACTAGTAATTGCTATCTTTCACACGCTACAGTTTCTGCATGAGTGGTGTAAGCATGATAGCGAGTGTTCGAGAGGTAAACCGACTGGAGCATGTGCACTAAATATTTAAGTAGTAAACAGTTATAATAAACAGTTAAATGAATGCGTTGTTTTCTTTGGCAAAGAATATGTCAGCGACAGTTACATCCGTTACATGCGTGTCTTCCCCATGGTAGAATTACATGACTACCAACGCCGTACGGCCATAACTATGAAACCACATACACACACACACACACAAAACCCATATGTCTATCTGTGCTCCTGTTATCAGAAAGTGTTTTCTAATTTAACATTTTCTATGGCAGATCAGAATTACGTCAACGTAATCTATCTATCTATCTATCTATCTATCTATCTATCTATCTATCTATCTATCTATCTATCTATCTATCTATCTATCTATCTATCTATCTATCTATCTATCTATCTATCTATCTATCTATCTATCTATCTATCTATCTATCTATCTATCTATCTATCTATCTATCTATCTATCTATCTATCTATCTATCTATCTATCTATCTATCTATCTATATCTATCTATCTATCTATCTATCTATCTATCTATCTATCTATCTATCTATCTATCTATCTATCTATCTATCTATCTATCTATCTATCTATCTATCTATCTATCTATCTATCTATCTATCTATCTATCTATCTATCTATCTATCTATCTATCTATCTATCTATCTATCTATCTATCTATCTATCTATCTATCTATCTATCTATCTATCTATCTATCTATCTATCTATCTATCTATCTATCTATCTATCTATCTATCTATCTATCTATCTATCTATCTATCTATCTATCTATCTATCTATCTATCTATCTATCTATCTATCTATCTATCTATCTATCTATCTATCTATCTATCTATCTATCTATCTATCTATCTATCTATCTATCTATCTATCTATCTATCTATCTATCTATCTATCTATCTATCTATCTATCTATCTATCTATCTGTCTGTCTGTCTGTCTGTCTGTCTGTCTGTCTGTCTGTCTGTCTGTCTGTCTGTCTGTCTGTCTGTCTGTCTGTCTGTCTGTCTGTCTGTCTGTCTGTCTGTCTGGCTGGCTTTCCGTCCGTCCGTCCGTCCGTCCGTCCGTCCGTCCGTCCGCCCGTCCGTCCGTCTGTCTGTCTGTCTGTCTGTCTGTCTGTCTGTCTGTCTGTCTGTCTGTCTGTCTGTCTGTCTGTCTGTCTGTCTGTCTGTCTGTCTGTCTGTCTGTCTGTCTGTCTGTCTGTCTGTCTGTCTGTCTGTCTGTCTGTCTGTCTGTCTGTCTGTGGTGTAGCGGCTAAACGCTCGACTACGAATCCGAAGGTCGTTTAATCAAATCTAAATGATGCTGGACATTTTGCAAAAGGACCTTGGCCCACAGATCGACCCTGCCTTAAATGGGCACCAGGAAAAATTCTAAGAAGTAAAGGCAGCCGGTGTGATGTTTATTACATCATCCACCAAGTGCCGATTTGTCCATACAATATAGGTCTAGCCCGCCCCATTCTCCCAATACGACTGAAAGCGAGAAAAACGAGTCTTTTTCTGTCTTTATACAACAGCCCAATACTGTGATCTCGGTGCGGGTGTAAACGCTGAGTTAAAATGAGTTAAGAACGGACATCACAGCACTAGGGACATTCCTATCAGCGCTTCTTCTACATCTTCAGCAGCAAGCAGAGAATTCCAATTGCAGTTGGGCAAGTAACAGTCCGATACATATCCTCCCCGCCTTTCCTCTGAATGTAGAGTGTCGACCAGACCTCGGTTAATCTATTCTCTCCAGTGGTCTATTCGTACTTTCACCTTATCCCCTTGCACATTCTTTGACAACGTCTAACTTGTAAAGCATCAATTCACTAATCGATCGTGCAGCCTGTAGAGCCACCACGTATATCTGTCTGTTCGTTTTCCATCACACCTTAATGACCTGGATAAAATATCTAAAATAAGCTGACTACCTGGGACCCCTGAAGCGATGCTTGCAAGTCTGCATGGTGCATGCGTGTCTCTATCTTCTCAGCATGCATTTTGCGTCGGTTACAATCACGAGGTTGCGTGCAGCTGGTTTTTAAGGCAGCGGAAAGCTGCTATAGCTGCCCTCACCAACAACGATTCGCAAACTAGAGGTTGTCGACTGTAAAAGATCACAAGCAAAGGCTCTTGTGTGAGACTACTGTAAAGGTTGGGCAAGCATTGGACGAGGTTAGTATACTAAATGCTGTACGAGAAATTAGATATTCGCGTGATTCAAGCAACGACTGATCTGCAAACATGGTCAGACTGCAAGAACAGCAAGATAGGTAGGAAGCCAAATAATAATAATAATAATAATAATAATAATAATAAATCAACCCAGAACTTGTGTCGTCTGCCGCTACATGATGCAGAATGTACTAAGAAGGGGATCCGAGCACTAATGGACTGTATGGTTCGATGTCATGTGATGATTCTCTCTGGGCTAACTAATTTTGTTTTATCCCGGCCCTATCTGTCCACAAGGGGCTCCCAATTTACACCATTCTCTCATTTGCGGCATTTTACGATAACCTTCATCGGTGGGTTATGCTGCGGTCGTTAATTTCATAATGCGAGCAATAATATAATCCCCAAAGTATAACAAAAACACACCTTTCACAATTAAAAAATTTCGATTATTATTTATTAGAAAGTCATTGTTGACACTTAAGTTTGTAACAAAGGTGTAAAAAGGAATTGTAATCGCAAATTTATTTAAATGAAGACAAGATGTTAAATGAGAATCAAAGAGGTTTTCCAACGGCGGAGAGTGCCGCCACTTGATGGCTCACTCAATATGTTGTTTACAAGTTAGTTGTTTTCTGTGAAACACCTAGTGAAACTAGCTAATAAAGTTATCTAAATACACATTGTAGACTAGAAATATGTCGCGGATAGAACTCAGCGCGATTCAAACGAAACTGAAAGCTGCCATACAGAACCATCAGGTAAGAAACTGTGCTTTCCCCCGACACCCCACTGGCTCTCTGACTATTGATTTTTTCTGTGGCCTCCCTCCACATACATTGTGTAACTTTCTTTCCCCGATCAAAAAAGTTTCTCTCTCAACTCCTCATCACAACTTAAAGTCAACAAACATTTCATCTTCGTTTTCATCAATCATTTCGGTTATTACCCACGTTAAATTTGGTAATTTTTCACCAAGAGACCGAAATGTGTATTGCCATGGTTTCGGTCTCGTCTGCTCCAACTCGGCCACAACTTGGCCGACTTAATTCTGCTATTGATCATTCTTTTTTGTAAGTTTAACTCGAAAATCTTCAATATAAAACGTATTAAATGTCTGTTTCCTTTCTGTTTTTTCTTTCCAGATGTTGGTAGTAAAGATGAAAGGCGAGAATCAGGTAAAAGACTCCCGTTTTGTGGCGTTGCTTGGTTAAAATCAATAGTGAATCTCACAATTCCTCGATTTGGTTGATTCCCTGTGTGTAGGCAGCCATGAGAGAGCTATGTAGTGTGTGCTGATAAATTATTGATTTTTGTTCTTGAAACTTTTAACGCAGCCATTTTCTCCCAGAATATAGACCTAGCTTAGTTATGTAATCTCTGATTAGCATAAACATATTTTGTTTATTAATTATTCTTGTACTTATGATATTTTAAATATATAATATTATTTAAGTGGGTAGTTTGAAAGCCTCTCTGGGGCTGCACAGGTGGTGCTTTCAAGTTGATCAAATGTTGGTTTATTCTCACCTTTGACTAGAATGCTTCTCTGAAGAAGAGGTTGACAGAACTACAAGATGAGATTAAAAGATTGAGCGAAGAACAAGTGAGTAATTTGTATCATGTATGCTGTTTATTTGCGTATTCATTTATTACTGAAGTGAGAAAAAAAAGACAACTGTTTTTTACTCGGGTCTGTTTTGAAGGCAGTTTCAGGTTGCTAGAGGTAGAAGTTTTAAGGGGTAGACACATGATGTAAGTAGTTTTTTTTCATTGTTAATAGCTTCTTTTTGCAGGTATAAATTATATTCATTTGCACCCCACCCCCACCCTAAGACATTTTTTGGTAGCAATTTTTCTATCTTGTATTTGTACAGTTTAATTATTGTGTGTCTGCAGTTTTCTATTTTCTGTTATTTTGTTTTGCTTTTTATGTATGTTATTTTTGTGTCTCTTATTTCACATTAAAATTATGTGTCTGTCAATGTGCGTGATTTCTTTTGCAGTTTAAAAAAAATTTTTTTTTTGTAATTCTTGTCAAACATTTGCCCGACTAATAGCATTTACAAAATACATATAAGACAGATCTGTAAAACGGATGTGCACACAACACTCATGTTCTAGAACCAGACTAAGGTCCAGAGATAGACGAAGAACAAGGCTTTCCCCCAGAGTTTACAGCCGGTGAACACGAAGAAGAAGAAGAAGATGATGATCAGCTTTGTCTCTTCAGACATCTTTGTTATCAGAACCTTGCTGAAATCAAAACTCAGGCATCCCAAATATATTGTTTAATCTGTTATTTATACTAAAGAATTCCCGAACCAAACAGTACACCATGCATTGATTCTTCTTTCCCCTGTGTTGTTCCTGAATCCCCTGAGGGGTATTGGAGGGGGGGGGGGTGTAGTTAGTGATGAAATGGACGTTTTGCCTGGCACCTAATACATCATGATGATGATGTCTCATTTGTTCAAATACTCTTACATATTTTATCCATCTTTAATCACACGGCAGTGCCAACCACCCTTTTAAAAGCATTTGCAGAAGGAGAAGTTATTCTTTTTTTTAACCTATGCCATTTTGGGTTGGTCAGTATGTTTTCCCCACATCCTTCTGTCACTTACTGCTAGTTGTAGGCTCCTGTTGTGTATGCTTCTACCACAATGAACTTTTTACAATGTGTGATGCGTCCCTTGGTACTGAAAGACTTCAGCACATTTCATTGAATCAAGAGGTGAAGAAAAGATGCTGGTGTTGGATAGGACACATATTCAGAAAACCTGAAAACAGTGTAATTAGAATGTCTTTTCACTGGAATTCATATAGAAATGTCATAAGAATAAACTATTTGGGAGCTTCCTTTCAAGGTGGGAGTGCAACTGCCTGAGAGGCAAGGAACTAACAGTCTGCATACAGATTAGTCACACCTGTGAAACAGATATACATGCAACACCCAGGTTCTGAAAAAGGACTGCAGTCCAGAAGTGGATGAACAACCAGAACTGTTTGCCAAAGTTTACTGCTGGTGAACGCAAAGAAGAAGAAGAATACATTGAACAGTTTATTACCAAGTATATTTTGCTGTATTTCTTAACTCTTTCAATCCCAAAGAACACATTATACGTTCAAAAGTTCGTACCTACAAGCCCAATGAATGCAACATGCATAGTTGTTACGTCTCTTTTGACTACCCTTGGGCCTCTGATGCTAAAATGCCAGGGACACAAAGGGTTAGGTGCCTGACTAGAGTTACATTAACCCATAATGAAGTACAGACACATGTATAAATTCCACAGAAGTGCAAATGATTTATCTCGATACACTATGTTCATCTAGTTGCAGGGAGTTCACTGTAGTCACATGACTTACCAGGGTAACTTCATATTGAGTACAAATTCCTTCTGCTTACATAATAGAGGGTTGTTCATTAAAGCTTCGCCCGGCTCTCTAGCGTAGTTGGCTAAACCGGATTGCGCGGTGACCAGGTGACGAACTCCTTGTGGTCCGGGTTTGCTCCCGGTGGTAGGCAGAAAAGCCACATTTCTCCCAGATTTACGGTATTTACAATGGAATCAAGGCCGAAAAGTTGCGATATCCATAATACCGAGCCTAAGTGTTAACAACTCATGGCTTCTGGATACTAAAACAAACAAACATCATTAAAGCTTCAGCAAGTCTCAGCATATGCCTGTTCGGTGTGTGGTAAACCACAGGGAAAGCACTGTCCTTGACAATTATATGTCCCAAATCAAGCAGATGACGTCCTTTAGATGAGATGGGTTCTTTCCTTTGACCCTGTTTTTCTTTATTTCACAGAAAAAAATTGTGGTAAGAGTGAGAGAAAATCTAGTCAAGTCAAACCCACAAGTACAGCAACAGCAGCAGCAGCAGCAACAACAGCAACTACAGCAGCAGTCACAGCAACTACAGCAGCAGTCACCTGTTACCCCTATTGCCACAATAGGCCAAACTCTAACAGCCATAGGTCAGCCTCGGATTGTCAGCTTTCCGACCCAAGGAGGAGCTACTATTTTACCAGTAGGGATGGTTGCGGTACCTTTAGCTCACATGCAGGTAAATCACTGCTTAGATTTCTGGTAGGTACAGCTTCATTCCATCATTTTACTCACAAATAGGGCAGATGGAACAGCATGGGGGAAAATTGGCTGTCTTGCATGAGATCAGTTTAGAACAGTGTTTCTCAAATGTTTTGCACGTGGCCCACCAAAATGGAGAAAATTGTTTTGTAAACTCCTGACATCAAACTAAGCACAGAAAAAAAAAATATGTAGTTAATTCATTAAATCCATTGTACAAAAATTACAATTTTCGGCAAATGTGACATCTGCTGCTCTACCAAGAGGTTAGAAAGTTATTACATTTGTGGCTAGAGCAGGGTTTCTGAAAGACAAAGTGCTGCAGTAAAATTCATTAGATTTCTGTTTTGTTTTTATTACTGACATGGCAGAGAAGTCATTTTACACAAATAGGAAATTGATACAATGACTGTCAAAATGATGGCGTTATAACTCAGAGATTAATATTTGTTGTTACATGGTTTGTCTGAAATTTTGGGTGGCCCACCTTCACTTTCCCACAACCGACCAGTAGCCCATAGGTTTAAAATCTCTGGTCGATTGGTGTGTCAGACACCTAAAGCTGGAATCATATTTTAGTTATCGATTACTTGGCACTCGAGGGTGATGCAGTCAGCATAATGCCAGCTGCCTGTATTTATTTCTGCATCTGGTCTCCATTTTAGGCTGTGTCGACCTGGGAACTAAGGTCATTTGATAAAAATCGGCCTCAGTGCAGATTCAAATGCAAGACCTTGGCGGGCAGACGTGAAAACATCCAGCTGCTGAGCAAATGCAACTAAAGGTGGATATATGGATGGAATGGGTCAGTGCTGACAGAGTGGGTCAGTACTGCTGGAGTGGTTCAGGCGGAGGAGGCACTTCATCTCAAGATGCTGGCTGTTAGATTTTTACCATATAAGAAAAAGATGGCTGATTCTTATTTTTATGAAGTAGTTCTGTAGCTGTTTGTGTGAGTTAGTCCTTCAGCTGTTTGTGTGAGTTAGTCCTTCAGCTGTTTGTGTGAGTTAGTCCTTCAGCTGTTTGTGTGAGTTAGTCCTTCAGCTGTTTGTGTGAGTTAGTCCTTCAGCTGTTTGTTTGAGGTAGTCCTTCAGCTGTTTGTGTGAGTTAGTCCTTCAGCTGTTTGTGTGAGTTAGTCCTTCAGCTGTTTGTGTGAGGTAGTCCTTCAGCTGTTTGTTTGAGGTAGTCCTTCAGCTGTTTGTGTGAGTTAGTCCTTCAGCTGTTTGTGTGAGTTAGTCCTTCAGCTGTTTGTGTGAGTTAGTCCTTCAGCTGTTTGTGTGAGGTAGTCCTTCAGCTGTTTGTTTGAGGTAGTCCTTCAGCTGTTTGTGTGAGGTAGTCCTTCAGCTGTTTGTGTGAGTTAGTCCTTCAGCTGTTTGTGTGAGGTAGTCCTTCAGCTGTTTGTTTGAGGTAGTCCTTCAGCTGTTTGTGTGAGTTAGTCCTTCAGCTGTTTGTGTGAGTTAGTCCTTCAGCTGTTTGTGTGAGTTAGTCCTTCAGCTGTTTGTGTGAGTTAGTCCTTCAGCTGTTTGTGTGAGTTAGTCCTTCAGCTGTTTGTGTGAGTTAGTCCTTCAGCTGTTTGTGTGAGTTAGTCCTTCAGCTGTTTGTGTGAGTTAGTCCTTCAGCTGTTTGTGTGAGTTAGTCCTTCAGCTGTTTGTGTGAGTTAGTCCTTCAGCTGTTTGTGTGAGTTAGTCCTTCAGCTGTTTGTGTGAGTTAGTCCTTCAGCTGTTTGTGTGAGTTAGTCCTTCAGCTGTTTGTGTGAGTTAGTCCTTCAGCTGTTTGTTTGAGTTAGTCCTTCAGCTGTTTGTTTGAGGTAGTCCTTCAGCTGTTTGTGTGAGTTAGTCCTTCAGCTGTTTGTGTGAGTTAGTCCTTCAGCTGTTTGTGTGAGGTAGTCCTTCAGCTGTTTGTTTGAGGTAGTCCTTCAGCTGTTTGTGTGAGTCCTTCAGCTGTTTGTGTGAGTTAGTCCTTCAGCTGTTTGTGTGAGTTAGTCCTTCAGCTGTTTGTGTGAGTTAGTCCTTCAGCTGTTTGTGTGAGTTAGTCCTTCAGCTGTTTGTGTGAGTTAGTCCTTCAGCTGTTTGTATGAAATAGTCTTCAAGTTGTTTCTGTTAAATATCCATAAGCATTTTGTCTGAGGCAGTGCTTGATATGTTTGTATGATGAAGTCCTTCAGCTGTTTGTAGGAATTGGTTTGTCAGCAAAACAATGGTGTCTTGCGAAGTGATTACAAAAGCTATGATTGTCTTATATAGTGATTGCAAATGCCATAATTGTCTTGGAGTAATTGCAAGAGCCATGGTTACCTTCTGTAATGATTACACAAGCCATAGTTTTTCTCTAGTGGTTGCAGAAGCCATGATTGTTTTATGTAGTGGTTGCAGAACCAGGATTTTGTGTAGTGATTGCAAAAGTCATAATTGTCTTCTGTAATGATTGCAAAAGCCATGATTGCCGTTTGTGGTGATTGCAGAAGCCATGATTGCCATTTGTGGTGATTGCAGCAGCCATGATATTTATCTGTATTTGTCCTGCTTGTGCAGCGTCCTGTAGGGGTGACCCTGCATCCAGGAAACACAGGGTCCATGTCTCAGGCCACTAGCATCTCTTTGATACCTGCTGGAATCATCCGCGGCGGCTGCAACATCAGCCTCAGCCCCATCAACAGCGGCGCAACCATCAGCCTCGGCAACACTGTCAGCGGGATCATCCACGGGAGTATCGGAGTCAGCCACCTCAGCGGTACTAACCACATCAACACCACTACAAATGGTAGTGTGGCAGGTTCACATCTGGGCGTTGTTGAAGGTTGTAATCAGAATACTCATCCAGCTATTTCCAGTGCTTCAAATGGTGCTTCCCTGGTCAGTACGGTCATCCCTTCTAGTGGCACAGCACTGACTAATCTTACCAACATGACTAATCTCATTATCGGGACTAATATTAGTAACGGGCAGAATGGCACCAGTCACCCGCTGTCATCCAGTACAATGATTAGTGGTAACTGTGCAGGTATTGTGCCGAACACCTCCACAGTTCTTCCGATGGCTGCAGCCACACCCGTCAACACAATAACTGTCAGCAGCTCAGCACCTGGCATAGTCATATCACAGTTCCCACAGCAACCTCTGGTGCAGCCACAGCTTCTTCAGCAACAGCAGCAGCAGATCCTGCAGATGATACAACAGCAGCAGCAGCAACAACAGCCGCAGCAACGCCTGGCCTCTCACACTCCTATTAAAGTACCACAGTATACTGCCTCCATCATCCGACCTGCAGCCACTTCCGCATCAGTCCAGGTAAGAGACAGTATATAATCAAATCCTCAGGTACTCCCATGGGGTTCGGGGGCCCCATTTTGTCGATAGGGTGGAGGGGGGGGGGAGAGGGCAAGAATGGACCCATTGCCCCTAACAAGCATGTCATAATAGGCTACTAATTAGGGATTTGCTGATATTAAATGTGTTGGGCCGAAAGGTGCAGATGTCACAGCCTAGCTGTAAACCCCAACAAAACATGCAGTTTTGCTTTTAAGAGCGTAAGGAGAAGAAAAAGATAAACTTCTATTTACAGTCAGACTGTTGTTTAGCTTATAGAAGCAAATTCATAAAGTATCATTAATAATTAAAATCCAGCAGGTTAAGCAAACCAGGGGGTGAAACCTTCTGAAGGCAACCATTTGGTAGGGTATCTGATTAGACCATTAAGTAATAGTCCACAGCAACAGGTGGGGGAGCGGGTAGCAGCAAACCGCGGGGTGAAACCTTCTGAAGGCAACCATTTGGTAGGGTATCTGATTAGACCATTAAGTAACATTACACCGCAACAGGTGGGGTAGTAGGTAGCAGCAAACCACGGGGTGAAACCTTCTGAAGGCAACCATTTGGTAGGGTATCTGATTAGACCATTAAGTAATAGTCCACAGCAACAGGTGGGGGAGCGGGTAGCAGCAAACCGCGGGGTGAAACCTTCTGAAGGCAACCATTTGGTAGGGTATCTGATTAGACCATTAAGTAATAGTCCACAGCAACAGGTGGGGTAGCGGGTAGCAGCAAACCACGGGGTGAAACCTTCTGAAGGCAACCATTTGGTAGTGTATCTGATTAGACCATTAAGTAATAGTCCACAGCAACAGGTGGGGTAGCGGGTAGCAGCAAACCACGGGGTGAAACCTTCTGAAGGCAACCATTTGGTAGTGTATCTGATTAGACCATTAAGTAATAGTCCACAGCAACAGGTGGGGTAGCGGGTAGCAGCAAACCACGGGGTGAAACCTTCTGAAGGCAACCATTTGGTAGTGTATCTGATTAGACCATTAAGTAATAGTCCACAGCAGCAGGTGAGGTAGCAGCAAACCATGGGGTGAAACCTTCTGAAGGCAACCATTTGGTAGGGTATCTGATTAAAGCATTAAGTAATAGTCCACAGCAGCAGGTGAGGTAGCAGGTAGCAGCAAAGCCATTTGGAGTAATACTTGGTACAGTATAGAGTAATATTTTTGAAGCAAACCAAGTTATATATACTTCAGATCAATGCATCAAATATTAGTTTGAGGCAAAACATGTTTTTAAATAAACCGTGGGGTAGTATTTTGAAGCAAATTATGAAAAAGCCTTTTGAAGCAAATTAGGAAGAAGCATTTTTAAGCAAGTAATAAAAAAATAATTTTGAAGCAAATTATCAAAAAGGCTTTGTGAAGGAAATTATTAAAAGAAACATTTTGAAGCAAATAATGGGATTATTATAGCAAGCGCACCGTAACACCTTCCCGTCATGTTTTCCTGTGTGGGTTTGCCATCTTTTCTCACGTTGTTTTTCTACTTATTCCTTCATATTGTTTTATATCGCTCTAATTCAGTTTTTCTTTGCTTCTTATTCTGTTGTCTGTACGTTTTATTTTTTTTTAAATATATTTTGTGTGTGTCAATATGTGCTGCTTTATTTGTTCGTTCTTTCTTACTGTCTGTCTTTCTTTGCATTCTTCTTCTTCTTCTTTTATTTGCTTGAAATAGATTATCTATATCTGCAATTCTGTCGCTAGTATGAACTTCACAGTCTGATGTAATTCAGTCAGCGACTCTTGAAGTTTGGCTTGTTCGTCACGGCCAAAAGTTTTGTGTTATGTTGTACCAGGGACAGTGTTTGAGAACCTGACCTGTTGTTTTTCGTTGCATTCAGTTTAGCAATTGTGTGTGTATGTGCAAATATGTGTGTGTCTGTGTGTTTTTTGTTTGTTTGTTTTTATGTTTGTTGCTATTTTTTTTTTTAAACTTCCATTACTGTGTGTGTTTACTATTTTTTTTGGTGTAGGAGGCGGGGTCTATAAGACAGTTTAGGACTGCATGGGGAATGCTGTCGCCGCAGACTGTGCCAGTTAGGATTTTGTTGATGCCTGTGTATCTGTTTTATTTTCTCTTATTTCTTGACAAGAAGATGAACCGTTGACTGTTGTTATATCCACAGTTCTGCAACATTGCCCCCGCCCCCAGCATGGTGACGCCCACACCCTCAGCGAGAGTTGTGTCCTCTCCGACTGCTTCCATACCACAGCAAGCCAAACCTGCCATCAGCAAAGAGACCACAGTTCTCAAAGAGCAACTATCAGCAGTGAAAGTGGAAGCAGCTAAACCCCACCAGCAGCAGCCAGCCCAGCCACAGACACAGCCACCAAAGCCACCCCTGGAAGGTCCAGCAGAGCAGCCCATGGTGGAGCAGCCCCCATTGGAGCAGCCAGCGGCAGTGGTTGTTAGTCATGATCAGGAAGTATGAAGCTGTACATGATTCTGTGTTCGATTTTTTTTTTCTGCTTCAGCATTCTGAGCATTTGAAGTTCATTTTTTTTCTTCTTCTGCTTTTCTTATCCCCTATGGAGCATAAGCCATCAACCAACTCACACTAAGTCGTTCAATCCTGCGCTATCGCATTCAGCTCTCCATGTCCTCCACATCATTTTAACTTCACTTTCTAGCTCCCTTCTCCATATTTGTTTTGGTCTGTCTTTATTTCTATGCTCCCTGTGGGTTCCAGTGCAACGACATTATAGTTATACTGTTCTCATGTTTTCTCACTGTGTGTCCTATCCACAGCCAGTGTCTTTTCTTCACCTCTTGGTCCACTGGAACTTGTTTAGTTCTCTTTCAAAGCTTTACATTAGTCATTCTATCATACTATTTAAGTTCATTGCCTTTGTTCATCTTTTCTAATTGGCCCTCTTTTTCTACTTGGTGACCCCCGAGTGTTCAAAGGTTTAAATAAAAATAAAGTAAAGGACCCTTATGCACACAAATGGTGTATCGGGCTTAAGGTGCTAGACTTGTATTTTGATAGATCTGTCACCTTTACTTCCCAAGACTTTACCTGAAACCCATTTTAGGCTTTTTCAACCTGGGAGCCAAGGTCATTTTGTATGAAAATCTTACTAGATGCGGATTCATACCCCAGGCCTTCAGGTCAGAAGCAGAATGCCTAGCCTTTGTGGTACTGCTGTTCCATGTTTAGAGGTCTGACTGTATATTATGTCTCCACCATCTTCTTGGTTGACTTCAGGGTCTACTTTTATTCACCGCCTTTGTGTTCACAATTTTGATCTCTCTGTTATTTGCTATTTGCCGTTATCTCTATATAATGGATGATCTTAGTTGAAATATTCTCCTGAGTTGGTTATGCACCGCCAGTGTCTCAGAGCTAACTCACTTCAGGCTGTAACAAATATTCATTAGTCCAGCTCCTTCTGTGTTCGTCTTTAGAAGGACAGTTGACACAGTTTATAGCCAGGCTGTGAGGTCGGCAGTTGCCAACACATCCGATTTCAATGAATCTTTATCTAGTTGCCCTTTAAGAAAATGCTTGTTAAGCGACAGCGGGTCGACCCCATTGAGGCTCAGGAACTCACATAGATATCAGCATATGATTTTGTTAGTTATGAAACCTGTTTCTGCTTGCCACAGAAAAAACAGCTGTGAAGAAACATGGTTACCCATGCCATCTGGCAAGGCTTTTAATTGTGATGATGATGATTATAAGAGCTTCCTTCTTCTTCACATTCACTGTTGGTAAACTCCTGTGGAAAGTTCTGGTTGTTCAACAACTTGTCGACTTGAGTCTTCTTCCAAAAGGTGAGTCTCGCATGCACACACATTTTACAGATCTGGCTTATTTGTATGCAGATGTTGGTTCTTCACCTCCCAGGCAGGTGTACTTCAACTTTGAAGGAAACACCCTTCATTGGCCTTTTTTTTTTTTTTTTTACATGTTTGTTAGGTATGCAGGGGTCTTTTATCTTTTTCCCCACAGTGAGGCCCTGGAACTAACGCAGGGATGAAGCTTTCACTAGCAGGGAAATATCCCTTGGTCACAATAGTTGGTGAACATGCAAATGTCTTTGAGATTCCTAAATAATCTTTTTTTGTTTTGCCTTTTCAGAAGTTGGGATTTATGAAAGTGTTGGACTTGTACACCATTGATGCCATCAAAGGTTAGATTGTTGCTTGAGTACCTTGAATTAGACAATCTCACATTCAACTGAAAGTTCTCACTCTCCTCCTTTTGGGATTAGAATTATATGTACTTGTGTACTTTCCTTCATTGTTTCTCTTTATTTAATTCTTTCTGTCCTTCCTGACCTACTTGTACATTGAAGAGACAACTGGAAAATCAAATTGTCTTTAGAAATGTGGATGTACAGAATAGGTTGTATTCCATGGAAACAAAAACAGTCAAATACAGAGGTTCTTGAAAGACAGCAAATGAAAAAAAAAAGTCACTGAAATAAATAAAAAAGAGGCAGTTGAAATATTTTAGCCAAAAGTCATAAAACTCATTTAAAACCATAACGTCGAGAGCAAGAGGTAGACAGTGATCCAAGTGTGAGGACAACATCAAGAGTTGGGGGAAGAGCAGACTGAGAGAGAGTACAACCAGGACAAGAGATTGAGCCTATTGTAGAGATGGCACCTGATTGATTGATTGATTTTTTTTTTTCTTCTTTCTCTGTAAAATGGATATGCATGCAAAACCCAAGTTCTGGAACAAGACCAAAGTCTAGAAGTGGGCGAGCAACCAGAACTTTCTGCCAGAGTTTAGAGTGATGGATGTGAAGACGAAGAATTAGAATCCGAACCATTGTCTGGCAAGGCTCTAGACCAGGCCTTATTTACTGCTTGCATATACCACAAGATATATTTATCTCTCTCTCTCTCTCTCTTCTCTCTTCTCTCTCTCTCTCTCTCTCTCTCTCTCTCTCTTTCTCTCTCTAGTGTGTGGGTGCGTGCGTGCGAGCGAGAGGGAGAGCGTGCGTGTCTATAAATAATATAATATATATATATATATATATATATATATATATATATATATATATATGGGAAGGGATACAGGAATGACCAGAAGGGAAAAAATCAGCATTGAGGTCAAAAGAGAAATATTTGGCACAGAACCTAACCTATTCTAATTTAGGTACAAAAACAGCTATTCAAATTATGTGTCCACTTATAGAAAAATCCTTTTGTTTTGATGTCATACCATACAAGGTATCAACACACGATGAGGTAAAAGATGAAGTGAAGAAGAAGAAGAAGATTTTACCACTGTAAGGATGAAATAGGACAGAGGAGTTCTGAGCCTGAGGATTCGAGGCCCATGGCTGATGCAATCATCAGGAACTGAGCAGGTTCAGATGATTATTTTTTATCCAGACAGAAAAAATCTTCATCCTTTACCAGGGATTAAACCTGGGTCTCCCACATGAGAACCCAGTCCTGTAACGACAGACACCTGGAAAAGTTCCTGTTATGGACTGCATCAGTTTGTAAATATTGTTTCACTTCTTTAGAACAGATAAGGGTAACCAGTTTTTATTTAATCTGCAGAAGTGATGAACAGAAGAATGGAGCGGAAACGTCGAACAACAGCCAACCCTAACTATAGTTTTGGATTTGAATTTACAGTAAGTAATTGTAATTACCATTTGATTCTATTCTGTGATTACTTCTACTTCGTACATTGTTTGAGGTTTACAGGTTTAAATTTAAAAAAATAAAGGGTAGTAGTCATTATTTTTGTTCAATGTTTTTGATCTTTCTTTTAAATGTGGACATGAACTTTATCTTGAATATGTTAATCTTATACTTTAATTTTCCAGTAACTAAAGAGAACATTTCCCAGGCCTAATGTTAATCATATGATGAATGAGTTTAAAATAAACAGTTCACCTACGTATAATATTCATTTAACCCACATTTGGCATCTCATGGGTGAGGAAAACAGGAAAGTTGAAGGGAAAGACATGAAGCACGAGACCGAAAGAGAGGAAGTTTGCCATCAAAATGCTGTGGACAAGCGTGATTATTAATGTCACACGCTTCAAGAAAAAGAATATTTGTGACATATAATTTAGCTTTCTAATCCATTGTGAATTCATTTTATAAGTCTTCATTTGTTCAGTTTTCTGATTCAGTGTTTTGTCTTTGTCTTCAGAGAGAGAC